AATTACCTACCCATGTCAATATCAATTGACCTTCTTTCCGAGCCGGTCTCCCTCTCATTTCCCTTTCCTGTGTCAATATGCCCTCCTTCTCCCGCCCTTTCCCTTATTCGAATGGGTGGTGAGTGAGAGGCGGGGCGCGTACCGGTTGGGAACCCTAGTTCGAAATTTCTGAACATAGCTTCGATTCTTGCGAAAGATTGTTGAGACAGCGCTGAAACCTTTAAGTTGAGCTTTGGAGCCGTGGTCAACATGTGTATATGTACCGTACATGGTAAAATGCTTAGTGAAAGGAAATGCGCTGATTTAAGTTTCGATTCAACTTCCAGATTCACATATCAGTGATTGATATGCAGATCGGCCAAGAGTTTTTCCCATAACAATATATTTTGTCGGGTCATAGTTCGGTGATGGGCGGTGGTATGAAATATCATTTTGAACTACAGTTTGAGGATGGTGTTAAGCTGGCTAGCTCGAATTCGAAGATCGAATGCAAATTCCCCACCTCCGGTGTGAAGGGATGTTATTATCCGTAGCGAAGTAGCTACGCTCCAGTTCCTGGAGACAACAGGAGTGCCTAGTCCCAAGGTTTTCAGGTTTGCGCTTGAGGGGGGTGTGGGGGATTTAGTGGGCATTGGGTAGATTCCGGTGGAAAAAATGCGTGGGAAAGCGTTACGTTGATCGTCGCTTGACTCGGGCAAATAGAGAGAGAAAGTCATAAGTCAGCTTGCGGATATATTTGTCGAGCTGCGGAGATATTCTTTTGACAATATGGGCTCGCTGAGGCCCGGAGGTGAAGGCATCGGCCCTTTTGCCCATGAAGACTTGGCTGATTTTTCTGCTACTGGTGATAGTCTGAGTCGGATCGGGCCCTGCATTTCATCCGAAGAATACTTCATTGCATCGACACAACTAACTTTGGACCTCATTATGTGAGAAGAACGTTATACTCAACGTCCGGTTGACGCGTACCTCATCCACCGATTTCTTCTGATTCCATGCCCAAATTTATATCATCGTATCATGCCGTCAACGATGGACGCTTCTATCTCAAGCATGCCGATGATAAGGGTGACCACATTTTCGTGGATGATGACTATAATATCACTGGTGTCATTAACTGGGAGTGGGCATACACAACTTCGAAGGCTGTGGCATTCAATTGCCCCGTGTTCCTTCTCCCCGGTACTGATTTCTTCAAGGGTACTCTTGGCCTTGGTGAGGATGAGGGAGTTTGTTCAGCTCTTGGAAACCAAAGGTTGTCATGACCTTGCGGAAATTGTTTATAAGGGAAGGATGTGCCATCTGTTTGAATTCTGCTGTGGATAAGATCTTGCTGACTGGGAGCCTTTGCTGGACTGTTTTAGGGACTGCGAAAGGCCCTAGACGAGCATGAATCCTTAGAATGGGAAAGTTGGAGAGAATATGCCCTACATCACTATAAGGATGATGACAGGCTAAAACACTTGCTGTCTCGAATAGAGAGGAAACATTAAAGCATATCCACAAGGGATAAGCTGAGGCGGAAGCTGACACGCAAAATTGAGGCTGTTGTCCCTCAATCAGGATAATCATATCTGTTAGACTCTATCCTGTCATAGGAATCTATTATTAGTATTTATATGAAGAAGATACGGATAGTTCGATTCGTTTCCTCAGAGGGAAAGAAGGAAAGAAGTTGCCTCTGTACATTAACTAATTCATCAGTAGTTGAGGGGCTAAACCCTTAATATAAAACACCCAGAAATATTAAAAAAAAACTCCCTTTGCGCTGAAGCACCAAATCCAATTAAGATCTGGTTTGCTTCCCTAATTTTTCGTCACAGAATGCCCACGAGCAGCAGGCGCCGGTTGCTGGGGACCAAATGTTCGCCCTAAGCTTGCTGCAAGAGCACCCAAGCCCACAACAGTCAGAATAATAAAGAATCTCGCGGACATGCTCCCTTCAGTATCTTCAGCAGTCAAACCACCCTGTTCCTGCATGCGTGATTTCTCGCGCTCCATGGCTTTATAGCGGCGCAGACGTCTTCTCTCATCTTCATGCGACTGCGTGCGGAAGTGGGACTTCGCATCGAAGTGGGAGACACGATTGCTGTATAGGAATGATGACTCTGGATCTGAAGATGACGTGGTATGACTTGATTGGAAAGCAGAAGCGGCATTTGACGCGTGTTTATGGCGGGCATGGTTGCTAGTGCCATAGCCGCCATGCGCGTAGAAGCTTGGAGGTGGTCCAAGGAAGGCTCCACGTTCTTTCCTTAACCCGGATGGTGGCCGAGA